GATTTGGTGATTTCTTTTTTGTATCGGGGAAATTAAAGACGTACAGAGCGAGTCGTTTTGAAATGTAAGCTTTACGGTGCTAAAGCTTATGTTTTACTAAGGTTTAAAAAGAATGCAACAATCCTCTGCTGCATGCAAATGTAGCAGGAGGAAAAACCTCAAATAGGACCAACAGATTTTATTTTGCTCATTATGCTGTGTGTTTGTAAAAATCTGGATTCCTGTTTAATATTGGCAGAGGAATTAAAGCACTTATCTGTCTATGAACGTTTACTACTACTCTATAAACGTCTAGTTTGTGCGTTTGCTCACACTTGACGCCAGTCGGGATATTTTATCAGATTTTTCAGCCTATGATCTGAACGTCAAGCCTGACTGTTCATATCGGCGAGCTTCTCCCCTTCCTCTTTAACATCATCCTGGTTACGGTCCTGTTGCATAATGCTGCTGCTGCTGCTGCAGAGAAAAAGCCTTGTGTTCTTGTTTCCGTGGAAACGCCTCCCCCACCCGGCGCTCTTCTCTTACACACTGAGCATGCTCAGATGAAATTTGAAATTAACATGCAAAGGAAACGGGAACAGCATCCAGAGTATAATCTCTTTAAATGTTTAAAATCCTTTTGTCTCTGTAAAGATCAAATGGGTGGAAATCTGCACAAAAATAAAAATAGCTGTTTGTATTTTAGCTGCTTTTAAAGGAGAACAGCGTCTCAAGCATTCATGTTTGCATCCACAAATTTTAAAAATAAGTATTAACTTTTATTTTCCAGATCTGTGTAAATAGGAGAAAAAAAGAAACTGTGTAAATGGATTTAAAATGTCTTGGCTGACAATAAATAACAATGGACAGACAGTGGATTTATTTGAATCTGTCAGACAGCTGAGCATTAAGCTGCCCATCATGTCATTTAAACCAAACCTCAGTTCTGTGAAGACGGTTCTGATAAGGCGCAGTGATCCAGAACCCCTTCGGTTTACTGGTGCCATCATAAAACACTCAACTCTTTGTACTTTCCACTTCCTCAAGAAGTTCCTTCTGGTTTACTGCTGAACAAACTGATAGTAAACTGATCTCACTCGTAATGTGTTATGAAACTAAAACGTTTGTTGCCAAATTAATCAACAGGTTTCATTTCTTCATTTCATAAAATGCTAAGGGTTGAACTGGGTTTTTTAGTCATTTTTCAATGTTGTGCATAGTAAAGATGTTTGGATTATAGTGGCATATCAGGAGTATCATACAAATTAACTTTATGCAGACTTTTTTTAAGCTGATCAATTAACAGTATTCAAGGTTCTTCAGAGTTAAAAATCTCCTGTAGTAGTTTGTGTTACCGTGGAAATGAAGGAGCTTCTGACTGCAGATTGTTTTATGAATGGCACATCAATCATACTGCTTTTGAAAAAAAAAAATTAATGCACTTCTGTCAGGACAACAGTCACACAAAGAATTATGATTTATCATCAAACTGCGCCCAGCAGTGGCATTTAGTCTTATTTTCAAGTTTGATACATTTAATGAGAAAATAGTCAAAAAATGATTAAAAAATCCCAACAATGTAGTCTGTTCAGGGGCATTTAAACATCATTAATTGGAATTTATTGTGGAAACAAATAATTTTATCGTGATAAATGATAACACAATAAATGCCCGTATTTTGAACAACTGACTTATTAAAGCTTTGCAGTCCAATAAAGCACATCATAAAACATGCAGGTTGTTTACCTGCGTACAGAACAAATAACTGATTTCTAATGCATTTAATTTGATGACAGGAAAAAGTCCAGATTTTTCTGTATTTAATGCAGATTGCCAACTAGTGCTTCTAATGTGTTCTTTAGTTAATTTTCTTGTAGTTTAAACATGCAGAGTAAAATTTTGGGGTAATTGGGGGACAATACATTTGTAAGCTAATCATTTAGCTTTTCTCAGTCATTTTTAAAGAAAGAAACTCAAAGTATGCAACCAATCTCATTTAAAGTATGCAGAAATAAATTGGCACCTGTCTTATGCAGATTGTGCTTGCATTGCATTTTAAAAAAAACACTGGCTGCTAGTAAATGATGCCAGTCAGGCTCCAGGTTTGAGCTGCAGCCTGTTACACACCACAGTATCTGCTGGAGTAGAACAGTAACATGGAAAACTATTTACTTTCCTCCCACGCAGCCATGCACACACACATTCCTCCGGAGCGAGTAGAAAGGAAGGTCACTCATATTTCCCCTCGCAGAAGGCTGGCACACTTGTGTTTACATTTTAGTCCTTACACCCCCGTTACTATAGCAACTCGTTTCTTATTTGGTCCCATTGTGTGGGTGTTCTCTTTTTTTTCTTCTTTGCAGACATTAGCGTCGCTTGTAATGTGCTTGGCTTGGATGTAAACGGAGAGATTCTGGGATGTCGGGCGAAAACAGAAATATTGCAACACTTGTTCTGTCTGTTATCTTGAAGTGCAGCAGTGTTGCACAATTTCTCTTGGTTTACTGACTGCAGCAAACGGCTGCGCTGCGTTGGAGTCTGGATTCAGAAGGCATTTACATTCAGAGGCGTTACCAGGAGGTCAGCAGTTTCAGCACTGAACATGTCGAAGGAGCTTTTTTTGCCCCCATAAGGAAAAAAAAAAAAAAAAAAAACTATAATTAATATGAAACATATCAGCTAAGAATGTGTGAAGATGCAGGTTAACCTCAGGAAATTAAAACACAAAAAGTTACTTTGTTTCTGTAATTCGATGAACCCTGCATGGCGGCGGGGTCCAAACGTTTTGACATGAGGGCCAAAGACGCTGAGTTGGAAACACTTTGGGGCCACAAATGTTTGCATGTTTACATTACTAAAGTGATATTTTTGTCTTTTTATTTTATCTACTCATTAACCAAATAAAAAAATTCTAATTTTATTAAAATCAAAAGTAAGTCGACGTTTGTGCTTCTAGCTTCTCCAAAATTAACACAATAGGTACACAAATAGATGTTAACGTTTTTGCTAAGATTTTTTTTAAAGAAGTTATTATTCTGGGACAGTTTATTGTAACAAGCCTATGAGCCGCGCTGCACTGATGCAATAAATCATTCAACACCCGAATGAAGTGCTTTAGATACAAACTACATGAAAATACTTCGGTACGCTGCTGCATTATATTAAACGTAATTCTTTGTTTGCCTTAAATAATATTTAGTTACAGAATAACATTTGGAACTGAATTACTAATTTTTCAATGTTACTCTAACCCAGCTGTGCATTTTGACTGAAAGTACTGGGATTGTTGTACCTTGGCTTAAATCAGGGATGTCCAAAGTGTGGCTCGGGGGCTGTGTGTGGCCCTTGAAATGACCTTGTTCGGCCCATAACCTCAAGACTCCAAAAATTTGGAAATTGATTTTCTTTTAACAATAAAATATCCTGAAGCCTTTGTTTAAGTTTCTGGTAAAGCAAAAGTAAATTACTCTGAACAAGTTCAAGCCTGCAGGGATCAGATCAGTGAAATCTCCATTAGTTCACGAATCAACGCACATAAAATAGTGACCTGCTGTTTTTAGCTTGACTTGAAGTCATTTAAAAATACAAGCTGTACCCGTTGAAAAATCCTGTTGCTGCTGCTGCAGAGTTTTGCAACAGAAGGCAAAAAGCATGCAGAGTAAGCAGAAAATCAAAGATCTCCCAGAGGGTAATGCCTGAACTCAACAAGGCCTCTGTAAAGAACACACACACACACCTTTCCTTTCTTTTTGATATAATTCAAACTCCTCTAACTGTAACATTTAAAATCATTTTAAGCCATTTTATTTAGAGGGGAGGAAATTATGCTTTAAAAAAATCAAATTAATAAATTGCTGTACTTGCATTTTTTTTCTTTAGGTCAATATTGTTAAGAACTAGTTATGAGCTCTTAACTAGCTTTTGTAAACTGCACATTGAAGCCTGACATTTCCTGTCCTATTTGGTTTTTAGTTTAAAAGCTTTCCAGCAGCAAACCACAGGAAGGAAGCGACGCTCGACTCGCAGCTCAGCGACTCACTGCTGCCTCTGCACAAAACTCACATTGCTCCTGCCACGAATCAGTCCAGAATATTTCATTACCCAATTTAGACATCATTATTGATATAGGAGATATTCTCTATGTAGGTCATCATGAAAACTGTAAAATCTAAATTTTTGTTTACACTACAAAAGTACAAACGTACAGAAATTAAAAAAGAAAAAGTAATAAATATATTGTTAAACAGTCCTTAAAGTTTTGTCTTTTTATGCCTTGTTATATATAGTAGCTATAACTCCTACTGGTGCATATTTAAAAAAAAAAAAGACCTGAAACAGGTGTGTTCAACCTGCGGCCCTTGGATTAATTGTTGCAGTTCAACAGTGGCACAAATATTGCCATCCGGATGAGATTTTCCGTGGAAAGTTTATATTTTGAAAATGTTGAGTTCAGCACAAAGACCTTTAGACCCTTAGCATTTATTTTATTTTATTTTTTATTTCAAAATCCAGGAAGTTTTTACTCAAAAACAAACTTTGGCACATCCAACCATTACATTTGGCTAATTACAGCGAAAGTTGTTGTAGAAGAAAATGTTTACTTTTGTTCCTTGGAATAAACTAAAAACATTTTATAGACTTAAAAAGCTGAAAATAAACGCAAAAAGGTAAATGACTGTGAATATTTAGGCAAATGTAAAATATGTTTATTGTTCTGGTAAAAGAGAGAATTAAAATAAATTGGGGAGAAAATAACATTTTAGCCCCTGAATACTTTCAGCTTAGAAATATTTGCCCCCCTTTGCAAAAAGTTAAAATTGACTTAAAATTAACATTCAGCCTGGTGGAGCAAATAAAGCCTGGCGTCCCACCAGGCTGATGATGTAGATGAGTTTAATGAGTCATTGAGGGAGGAATAAAGATGCTGAACTTTGACACGACTTGATGGATGAAATGTTTTTTCTTTCATTTGATTTTTTTTAAAATCTAACCTTTGGCTTTTCTCTCTTTTTTCCATCCAGCTCCGCTTATGACCGGGACAACAAGCTCCGCGTGGCCATCAAAAAGATCAGCCCGTTTGAGCACCAGACCTACTGCCAGCGCACCCTGAGGGAAATCAAAATCCTGCTGCGCTTCAAGCACGAGAACATCATCGGCATCAACGACATCATCCGGGCGCCGTCCATCGAGCAGATGAAGGACGTGTATCCTGGCGCCCGCTGTCAACTTTACCATGCTAATCTCACCTTTTGAAGATGTTTATTATGTTTGTGTTTGTCTCAGGAAAGGTCGAGAGTGGCAAGGCTCTGGCGGCTTTTTGTTTGAGCAGGGATGTTCATTTGTGTTTTTATTACATAATGGCCACCTGTCGCCATGTATTTGCCTCAGATGCTCTTCACTGTTTCCCAACAGCAGCAGTAAAACCGAGTCCACTTTGCAGACATTGTGTGATCCTGCATCAATGAGGAATCACACAAAACTTACAAAGAATGGTCTGTAATTGACATCAAATCAGAAAATGGATCCAGAAAACCACATTGTATGATTTATATTTGTTTTAATACTTAAATGAAATAAGTATTTAATGCAATAGAAAAGCAGAACCTAATATTTGGTACAGGAACTCGTGTTTAAAGATGTAGTTCTTCCACACTGCAGCAGGGATTTAGCCGATAACTCCACTCAGATCTATTCCAGATGTTTCAGGTTTTATTCAGATTTTCAGCTTCCTTCAGTGATTTTCTATTAGGTTCATGTCTGGCTAGTCCGAAGAGCTTCTGGACGGAGAACTCCTTTACAAACCCACAGATAATGCTACCAAAACATCATCTTTCAGGTTTTTTGTTCCTCAGTCTCCATTTCATAATAATTACATTCATTTTGCGTAAAAGCTAAATTTTTACGCTAAATTTAGCTTTTACGAAGGTTGAAGGACGGTTCCTTCAACCTTCGTCAAATTTACAGCTACAAACTGCTTTCAGTTTTTAAAATATGACTTCAATGCATAAAATGACATTAAGTTTGAGATTTTATCCAAATTAATGTCTGAAGCATTTTCAAAAATTTAAGTTTGAAAAGTAAAAAATTTGCTAGAAAAATTGTAGACATTTTGAGATTAATCTAAGAACTTTTGTAAGCTAAAACTTTAATTTCTGAGTTTGAAAAGTTGAACATTTGCTTGGATAAAAATGAAATTTTGAGATTAATCTCAGGAACTTTCTAGGAGAAAACTTTGAAATTTGAAAAGTCAAATGTTTGACATACTGAAATTTTCTGAGTTTGAGATTAAAAAAAGTTTTTTTGTTTCTTGCACATTTTCATCTTTGGGAGCTCAGGATTTTTTTTTGTTCCTAAAAATTTTATAAATTCTCTTAAAAATTTCAGGGTTTTTTGGTGGAAATTTGCTGCCTTTGTTTTTTCCCTGTAGAAAAGCATTTTAGTTTCCACAAACCCTGACGGGCTTAAAGTCTTTAACCTGGGTCGGTGCAGATACATCGTCCAGGATCTCATGGAGACAGACCTCTACAAGCTCCTGAAGACCCAACACCTGAGCAACGACCACATCTGCTACTTCCTCTACCAGATCCTACGAGGGCTCAAGTACATCCACTCTGCCAACGTGCTGCACCGCGACCTGAAGCCCTCCAACCTCCTCCTCAACACCACCTGCGATCTCAAGGTTGGTCTCTGACGTTTTAAGCACCAGACAAACCGGAAAGACGCCCTGACTTCTTCTTTCTCTCTGACGTAACTTGCCGGTAATTGCTCAGTAAGCGGCTTACGAGCTTCTCCTGGCTTCCTAAACCCGTTTCCGTAAACCGTCACTGACCTGTGTGTGTTTTACGTGTCACTGTTTCAACACACACCTGGATTACATCAAAAACTTCATCATGCCTGTTTCAGAAGCTTCTTAATGATCCACACGTTTCAATCCAGTGCATTTACACTAGGGCAGAATTATTGATTAATCATCATTAATCAATAATTGAAATAATAGTCAACTAATTTAGTTATCGATTAATCCTTAACTACAATACACAGACTCAAAAATAACGGCTAATTGTTGAAAGAACACACTAACCCAGTAATTGAGTCAAAACTGTATTAAAAAAATTACATTTAGCTTTAGGATAGAAAAAAAAACAACTTTTAGTTTCTCCTGGTTCAAATTTGATAAAGAAAAGCTCCGATGCATAGCTCTCATGTGACGTTGCACTTCTGTGAACTTCATAACTGGCAGCCATCTTGGTAGGCCGTTGCTATGGAGTTGCTGTGACGACAAACAAGCCACAAGCCTAGAACTAGCTCTCACCTCAGTCCTATCTAACTTGTAATCAATATGACATCATTACAACTACTTGGCTTTTCCACCCAACTCTGTGAAACTAAGATGAATATCAGTGACATTTATTGCAGTACTTACTGCCGAGCTTTAAATCTGGGATGTTTGGCAAGAAATGTTGCACTTTTATGCAGTATTCTAATGTTTTGAGACGCATCGGTGCGTAATCTTCTGACTCCATCTAGATACAAGATGGAATAAAGTTGAACTAGAAAAACATTTGTAGATGAAATGATAAAATCCAGTGAACTAAAACAAGACGTGAAACTTGAACACATCCAAATATAATTTAGTTTTATTTAAAGTTGTTTCTGCTGGTTTTCATGCGTCCTGTCGTCTTCCTGCCAGATCTGTGACTTCGGCCTGGCTCGCGTGGCGGATCCCGACCACGACCACACCGGCTTCCTAACAGAGTACGTCGCCACGCGCTGGTACAGAGCTCCAGAGATCATGCTCAACTCCAAGGTGAGCCGCCGGATTTCTTCTTCTACGCTCAAAATACCGCATGGTTCATTCTCCCTCCAGGTTAGGAAGCATGCAGGATGAGCTGCTTATTTTAGCCGGGGATTTTTCATAATAATAATAGTAATGTGGCTGTTTCGTCACCCTGTTGTGTTCACTGTTTGTTTTGCAACGCTGCTGTAGAGAAATGGAGAAGTAAACTTCAGTTTCATCAAAACCAAATGCACAGTTACTTTTGAGCGACCACAGAGTGAGGGGTCATAGAGAAATTCACCTTTTCAGTTTTAAAACCTTTAAAAAAGGAGAAGAAGCTGAATTTTATTCCATACATTTTTAATAACGATGTTCCTACGACTGCTGGAGTTTTAGGTTTGGAAAGTGCTTGATTTTTGTGTCAAGTCCTTGAAAGTGCTTGATATTCCTACTGCACAGTTTTGTGTTGAAGTGTAATCAAATGTTTGCCTAAAACTCTAAATTTGGAAAACATTATTTAGAGTAGAAACCAGATATTTTTATACTCCTGGTAACAAAGACACTTTTTTGCTGTATGAATTAAACCAGACTAAACTTTTCTTGTTCTACGTCGGATAGAATCTCCAGAATAACTTTTATTTGCTAAAAGACGGAAAACTTCTGATATTTTTGTTTGACTTTCTAAGCATTTATTTTAAGCAGGAGAGTCATTTACCTACAGTTTGTTTGGATTGTTTCAACATAATTAATATCTATTGTTTCTAACCTATTATCTGTTTAATTGACATAAATATTGGCTTATATTTTATACTTTAAAAAAGTTATTGAAATTGTGGGATTTTGTTTCGTGTTTTGTTCTCTGACCAGTCGGGTATATGAGCTGTGAGAGACATTTTTACATTTTACTTACCTTTACTGTTGAATGTAGAATACTATAAGACATTTTAACTACTGTAATTAAATGTTTAGGTATTCTTTAACGCTAAATTTGGGTTCTGGAAGAAAATGTAAAACTTGCATTAAAAATGCTTGAAAATTGTTGTTTTGACTTTTGAAATTAGTTTTTTTTTTCACTTTGCTGTTATTAATCTGTACATTAATGTAACATAAATGTATTGTTGAATCACTGCATAGGTGTTTACAAAGCTGAGTGTTACTCCATATGTTTTTAGTAAACGGAGTGTAAATATTTTGATCTTGACTGTGTCGTTTTCAGGGCTACACCAAGTCCATAGACATCTGGTCGGTGGGCTGCATCCTGGCTGAGATGCTGTCAAACAGGCCAATCTTCCCTGGGAAGCACTACCTGGATCAGCTCAACCACATCCTGGGTGAATATGCTTCCTATGTCCAGCCTCAAAACTGGATCGCTGCATTTTTCCATCTCTTTTGTGATGGTTTAACAGTTTTCAAACCAAAACAAAGACTGGTTGTTGGCTTGATTGTGCATCTTCACCTCCAGAGGTTATAAAGCTGTTATAATGTGTTAGGATTGTCTTTTTATTACCTTTTACTATCTTTTTATTGTATTTATATTGACACTTTTAGTTGTATTTAGTTACTTTATTATTGTTGGAGCCTGGCAATGAAATGTTGCTCAGTAAGTAAATTTCAAATGACAGTCTGAATCGATTACTGAAATATTTGCCAACTACTCCAGTAATCGAATAATCGCTAAGGGTACAGACTCTAAAACATGTAATTTGCTAAAGTAACAACACACTCAGAGCAGTAATTAAGAACAATATATACAAAAAATATATACATTTTCGATGAAAACATATTCTTTGTAAATATTTTCTATCCTGAACTTGTGGGATAGTTGAGCTTCACTGCAAAAATACAAAATCTTACCAAATATTTTTCTGTCTAGCTTCCAGAACAAATATCTTAGTTTTGTCTCATTTCAAGTGTACTACCTTACAAGCAACTTTTCAGCAAGAAATGTGAGCTTAAGTCAATAATTCCTTAGTATTCATAAAAAAGTACTTTGAAAATGTTTTTACAGGTGAAATAATCTGCCAGTGGAACAAGGACTTTTTGTATTGATATTAAATAATTATTGACTTAAAACAAGCTCCTATATTTTGCTGAAAAGTTATTTGTAATTTATTTACTGTATTTTGATGCTAAGCTGTTCCGTGAGTTATAAACTATTAAGTATTTTAAAGATTAACACATGAGTTTCTCTAGATCTTTAATCCAGGAAATGTTCCTCAGGCGACAGAAGGCTGATTTTGTAACTGCCTTTATGTTGCTCTGAAGGTTCAGGTCCATCGCAACACCCAGATTTCAGACCTGATCACTAATTTCTAGCTGGAAAAGGAAGTGATGGTGTTCTCGTTCTGTTGCAAATGAAGAATGTTTCAGCTGAATTAATCCAATAGTTGAATATTTCTGGAAAGCTCCAACGTTCAGGGTTTCACACTCTGTCACCAGGAGCAGCTGGTCGGACAATGCTGCCCTTATCCAGTCAGACTCTGAGTCTCTCTGTGTTAGACCAAATACTGCCTCAGCCATCTGCCTTTTCTCCTCTTAGAAAGCTGAAGAGTTTGAGTCGGACATCTTTAAAACGAACATTTGCTTTCAGGGATCCTGGGCTCCCCCAGCCAGGAAGACCTCAACTGCATCATCAACCTCAAGGCCAGGAACTACCTGCTGTCGCTGCCGGTGCGCTGCAAAGTGCCGTGGAACCGCCTGTTCCCCAACGCCGACAATAAAGGTCAGAGGGCACGCCGCTTTATCCACAAGTTTTTAACAGAAAAACCAGGCACTGGAAAACTAGAGCTGCACCGAACCGACGTTTATATCTTTATCCGTCCAGATATTGAGAAAAAAAACTGACAAAAGGGCAGATCTATTCAGTCTAATTCTATGCTTTATTATTTATTCATTTGAAAGAAGATTTGTTGCTCATCTGGTCACAGTAAATTGTCTCAGAAGTTACCACGATAAACGTTCTGAAAACGGCTCTTTTGAGACCATTTTCCAGTAATATGATGGTATTGACATAATAATGCAAGAACACTTTCTCAAAGATTAGTAAAGTTTAAATTATAATGAACATTTAGCACTGGAAGACATTTTAAATATAAACAAAACAACAAATAAAATGAATTATGAAGTTTCTGTCAACAAAACTGTCCTTCAAAATAAGGTTTAGTTGAGACCAAAACAACAGACTGAAGACTTTTATCACCCACAGAGAAAAAAAATAAATAAATCTTGGCAATAAAAATTTAGTTTAGTTTTTTAACTAAACGTAGAGAAAGAGACGCTGAAGGAGCTTCAGTTTTTTAACTAAATTTAGTTTAAATTTAGTTAAACTAAATTTAGTTTAGCTTTTAACTAAGCTAAATTTTAGTTTAGTTAAAAACTAAATTTAGTTAAAAAACTAAATTTAGTTTAGCTTTTAACTAAACTAAATTTTAGTTTAGTTAAACTAAAATTTAGTTTAGTTAAAAACTAAAATTTAGTTAAAAACTAAATTTTTAAATTTTGAATTTAATTTAACTAAATTTTTAACTAAAAAATTTAGTTAATTTTCTTAGTTAAAAAAAATTAAAAAAAATTTTTTAAGTTAAATTAATTTGACTAAAAAATTAGTTAAATGTACTATCATTTTATTATATTAAAAATATAGTAAATTTAACTCTTTTTAAATTTACTATGCAATTTTATTATTGTAATAAAATCGCATTAAAATGAGATTTTATAAAATCACATTATTTTATTAAAATGCAATTTTATTAAATCGCATTATTTATTAAATGCGATTTAATAAATCAATTGCATTAATTGATTTATTGCTTATATCAACAGGCCTGTTTGGTGCAGTTTGATAGTCATCCTATTGTTTTTGTCAGTTTCATTATTTTGAATTATATTTTTTTTATATATTATTTATTTATATATATATATTTATTATAATGCACCGACTGAACAAATTAAGGTTCTTTTACATGTCTGACCAAACTTGTGAAGCTGTTTTGTGCACTGATGCAGCGTTATTAAATAGATTTGTAATTCACTACATTTATGTCTGTTTCAAAGAAGAAATGTTTTAAGTTGATTCAGTTTTTTTCTGTATCAGCTGAAAGGAAACCTCTGGTTTTGATGTTAAAATAACAAATTGAAACATCTTTTTTTTTAACAAAAACTCTATAAAAATTGCATCCTCACCAGTTCAGTGCTTCAGATTATTTTTTTCTCTGAAGCTCTTCCTGCCAGATGTAGAAAGTAACTCGTCAGCAGGAAAATCCAGTTTTCTTATCAGCTTCCTGCAAACAAAATCTGTGTTTATCTGCTGAGGGACATAAACGATTACTTTGAGGATGTGATGGCGCCCTCTAGTGTTCGCCTGCACCAACTGGTTGTGTTAAATGCTGATTTTGTGCTGCAGCTCTGGACCTCCTGGACAAAATGCTGACGTTTAACCCTCACAAGAGGATCGAGGTGGAGGAGGCCCTGGCCCACCCTTACCTGGAGCAATATTACGACCCGTCGGACGAGGTGAGGCGCCCTCGCCCTGCCGCTTTCGTTTCTATGGTTACCGGCTGTGGGTTTTGACGCTGCCCCCTCTGTTGTCCCGCACAGCCCATCGCCGAGGCTCCGTTCAAGTTCGACATGGAGCTGGACGACCTGCCCAAAGAGACGCTGAAGGAGCTCATCTTCGAAGAAACGGCTCAGTTCCAGCCCGGCTTCAGGTCCTAACGGCTCTCAGGTACCGCAGACCCGGTTTGTTCCCTCCAAAAGGAGCTCTGGAGGAAGTTCTGTTCAGTTTGAGGCTCAAAATAAAGGACAACTGGCTAAAATAGCAACACACTCTGTGTACATTATGGATTTACGACAAAATAAAACAAAACAAAACCCTTCTGTCTGTAAATGTGGTTTAGTTGAGCTTCACCTGGTTCAAATTATGTTAAAACAATTGATATACTGGCAGATGCTCGCACATCAGATATGCTGATCATTTATTACTAATCAAATGTATTGATTGAGAATTTGGTTTTTAAGTCTTGATTCAAAGGAACTCGGTGTTTCAGCAGTTCCTCAGTTTTCTGGAAGTTTGTTTCAGATTTGTGGAGCATGGAAACTTTCTGAAGTAGGATTCTGTTCAATTTGAAAATAGGACTGAAACGATTACTCGGTTATTGAAATAATCATCAAATAATTTAGTAATTGATTAATCATTAACCGGAGTAAACGGGCTCTGAATAAATTCTCTAAAACAGCAGCACACTCGGAGCTGAAATCAAGCCAAAACTGTGCAGGAACCATAAACATCATGCATCATTTTTAGAGTCACCTGATTCACATTCTGTCTCTAAAAAACTCTTATAAAGCAACTTTTTATTAATCGGTTCAAATAAAAATTCTACATATTTTTATGTAACCATTTAAGCTCATTTATTTTATTTGTAAAGTGTCTGAGAACAATGTGAGGGTTAAAAAACACAACATAATTCTAGTTACATGTTTTATAAAATTAAAAATGCATTAGAATACTGCCATTAAGTAATTATTGTTCTTAAACACCATTCCTTTAGAGAACATTTGATGCATCTGCAGCAAAAACAATACAAAATAAATACTTTATATATTTCTGCTTCACTTAACATCAGTGCAGTGTAGGTCTGATCTGCTGAGTATTTTTCAGTTAACTAATCAATAATTGGACAGCAACAGGTGATTAATAGGTGAAGCTGAAACTTCTTGACGTTTTTTATAAAACATGTTTACAAAGAAGTTTTTTTTTATCTAAATCAAAATGAACATGTACGTTTTTGTACAAATTTGGCTCAGAGTTTCTTGTTCTTTCAGTAAATCTACTTTTCAAGTCTGCACACTCCAGTTAATCGATTACTAAGTTAATTGATTATTTCAATAATCGATTAATCATGATTAATTTGATTAATCGTTTCAGCTCTAGTCAGAACTTCCCTCCAGATCTCCGTCTCTCTGCTGCTTGTTGTGATATTTTTGTTTTTTCAGCCTCGTTTCACAGCGAAGCATCGAAAAACGAAATGTTTTCGTTTCGTCCTGCAGGAGATTCTGCGGACAGGCTTCTGCGTCGCCACTGCTCCTCCCCGCCTCCACTCTGTTGCTGTGATTTTTTTGTTTTGGGGTTTTGGTTTGCTTTGTTTTTTTTTTAACTCTCTCCTGTTCACACCACCTGGATTCCTCCGGTTTCTCTTTTCAGTTTCCTTTTTCTTTTGTCAAGTCCACTTTGCTCAGGAACGGCGTCAGGAATCAATCAGTCATTCTCCGTCTCTCCTTTCTTCCTCTCTCTCTCGGCGGAGAGGCGAGGTAAGGGGACCGGAGGGGTGGGAGTCACATCACAGCTCATAGTTTGGGGGGTGAATTTTGTTTTTTGAAGCCAAGATAAACAACTTTTTTGTGTTTATATGTGTGTCTCAAAAGGCATTTGAGTTGAAACCTTTTTTCTAATGATACTTTTTGTTTTGGTGCAGCTGCTTTGCACAAAAAAAAAATCATCTATCATTAAAACAAAACGAGTTTTCATACCTTTTATCACACTGTTGCAACAGGATGCAGTGATTTTTGTCTTTTCTTTCTCTCTCATTTAGAAAAATTCGACTTAACTCGCCTGATTTATGCAATTATGACAGAATGAGCCAGACTTTAACTGGCCACAAGCCATCACTTGGTGTTGACGAGGATGTATATTTTATCAAACCTTGTATTTTAATCTCAAACATACTCACACAGAAGGCCCCGGATATGAGGACCGCATATAACTAAATATAAATATATATATGAAGCCTGAAGAGTCTTAAGATGTTTTATTGTTTAGGGTGAAGTGAATTAATGAGTTTCTAAAGGAAAAAAGTCCCTTTTTTTATTTCTTATTGGCATTAAAACGTGTAGATATGTACGGTTTATTGGAAGTTTCTGCCTTAGCCACGAGGAAATAAAGGAAAAGTTGATTTCACACAAGTTTGTATGATATTTTCATATTTTCCAGGAGGTGGGACACGTAGAGTCCTCCACCTTTCCCCTCTTCTGTTTTCCTATTATGATTATTATTATTCTTTTGTTGTCCTCTGCGGTGTTTGTGGATCTCTCTCGCCTCGTTAGAAGAAAACTGTGCCCTTTTGCATGACTGTTATAAAAAGCTCCGTATACAAAGACAGCGACGTTAAAAGTGCCACACAAGCCGGCCCGGTTCGCCGCCGCCTCCTCATTTCGTGGTTAAAATCGTTTCCAAACACTCGGTGCTTTCCGCCCCCTGTTTTTATTTCCGCTTACCCGCCCTCTGTCCGACGAGCAGATTTTAATCTCTGCATGCTCAGTAATGACAAATCTGTGTTTAAAATGTTAGACAAATATTTAAAGCACAGCATGACGACATATTACTTCTGCGTCACGTCTAAATCGCACATTTTAGTTCTAGAAACAGTTGGACCAGCACACAACTGCATTAACTGAGGAAAAAAAACATGCATCACTGCAGCAGAAGTCAAGAATATCTTTACCGTTTGTGTTTGATCAGATTGAAGACTGTTAAATTAAATACTTTTATTTCACATATTATATTTTGATGAGGGGGAAAAAAGGGTTACTATTGCGCCTCTTCAGTTTATCTAGAATCTTCAGGGCGTCTATGGAAATACTTAACAAAACAGCTGAGATTTTAGTCATTAAAGTACCTCCAAATCGCACAGATGGATTTAAAACTTGGATAATGCAGCAAAATGTTAGATATTTGGATAAAATCCTAGTAGAGGAAGAAAAAATATGGATAATTTGCTGCTTCCCAGCTTAAAGTCAGCAGCTTTTTGGAGGATTTTTCTCTTCATTATGAACACAAATTGTATTTGACTTTGGTAGAGAAAACAAGAAAAGCCAAGCTGCTGTATTTTTGTTTAAAGTTGGGAGGATTTGCGTTTCCAGCGTAAATAAACGCGGGATTCTTCACACAGCTTAGTCAAGTATATCTTTATTTTTGTGGATGACTTATCTTTACAAGAGTATGTTAACGCGCCGCTCAGACGCACTCAAGCCATAGCTGGTCAGCCGCACCTCTGACCACACCCGGTTGTGATGTCATCGCGTCCGGACGTGCCAACATCACAGCAGCCATGTTTTAAATTAAACCGCTGCAGATCGACCGCAAAGCGGGGCTGGACTAAAGGAAATTATGGAAACCTGTTTATGCCACCATAACAGCATAATTAGTCAAAATTTGGATATGATTGTTATTACAGTGGCACAAATGGGCTTCCGTAATGCTATATTAGTAAAATCTCCACTTTTTTACTTCATTATCTGTTTAAAACTTGGATAAAAGTGACTGATGGGTTAAATAAAAAAAACAAAAAAAACAATGCATTACGGATCAAAAACTTCACCAGCTGAATCATAAATTTGGATTTAATTGCTATTACAGTGGCACAGATGGGCTTCCGTAATAGCATATTATGAAAAACATAATTTCTTTACATCATCAGTTTAAAACTGATGTACAAATGCCTGATTGAGTTTAAAAAAAGAAAAGAAAATGCACCACAGATAAAAAATCTAAACATATGCATTATAATTGGCCACAATTTGGATTTAATAGTGGCACAAATGGATTTCCATAATATGCCATATTAGAGCTTGATTTTTTTTAAATTCATTTAGCTTAAAGCTTATGTAAAAAATTCCTGTTTCAATAAAAAAAATATTAAAGTACATATTAATACAAATACCTATTAAAAATCTAACTAGCTATGTCATAAATTAGTCAAAACTTTGAATTCAATTATTACAGTGGCACAAATGGGCTTCCGTAATACCATATTAAGAAAAACTCCACATCATTATCAGTTTAAAACTTATAGTTATGGTCTGAGATGGTTGAAAAAATCCCTGATTGGATTTAATAAAACAAAAAATGCAGCTCAGATCAAAAACCTAACTGACAAATTTATCTTTAAAATAATTTTATCTCAAATTTAAGCTTAAAGTTGATGCTATGAATCACCTCTTCACTCCCATTTTAAATACATATCTACATTTCAACTCCAGCAGAGATTTAACCCATCTGTCGACACGAAACGATGACCAAAACGTTGCTTTGCTTTTTGTTTTTTGCACTTTGCAGATTTAATCCCAGCGCTCGTCTCACTCGCTGCACACACACGTCCGTCTCCGTTACGATGAAATGCACTTGCTTCTCCGGTGGTTGGGATGGGACTTGTAATCCGAGGTGCCTGCCAGGACTTGACATGCCTGTAGATAGTTTTCTTTCTTTCTTTGAGAAGCGGGCGGGGAGTGGGGATGGGAACTTTTAAAGGGCACTGGAAACCTTTTAGTGGGATTAGTTGTATAAAAAGAGGACAAATTAAAAATGATAAATAAAAAATAATTAAAAAAAAAAAGCTTCAGCTGAGTTCTTTGTGCAACCTTGTCTGTTTGTGCCTTTTTTGATAGTCTCGATATCCAAGATTTTGATGTGCAGCTTTTGTTCAGTCGGGAATCCGTTGTAATCGCAGTATACGCTCTTAAAGATGAACACAATCAGCTCTGTGGGTGGGGGTGAGAACGGGATGGGGGCGACCTTATCCTTCATTTCTGTAAATTTTAAGAGATTTGTTGCAACAGCTGTGTGATCTGTGACTGTAATAAAAGACGAAAAGCAAACATTTCAATATATTTTTTGCGTTACCCTTTATTTTCCTTTTAATTTTTTTTTTTGATGTTTTTGTGCAGATATTTTTATTGTAAAATTAATGTTTCTATCAGACACTAATCTTGTTTGAGTTGTCTCCAGTGGAACTTCTTCACTCTGTATGTTTTGATCAGTATAAATCTTTAATTGTGTAGTTTTAAAAAAGGAAAACTAAATAAAGAAAAAAAAGAGAACCATTGGTTGTATTTTAAAGGTTTGTTTGAGCTGCCATTAAATCGTTTGGAGTTGATTGGTGGGTTTTATTTCACTGTCATGTGAAGGATTTGACTTGAACGAAGCATTTGCTATTATTACAGACTGACTGCTACTTTGGGGGAAAAAAATTTTTTGGGGGGATGGGGATGTCTTTTGCAACTCTGCCATGACATTTCAATAGACGTTCATTAAAAATAATATACCTTCAGTAGTGTGTCCAAGTCTTCATTCATTGTAAGTTGGCTTGGAAATATTTTTGCTGTGTGAAGGAGTGACCCGCATGCGCAGAAGAACGTTGACGTCACACCAGCGCGCTGTTTACGGAAGTAATAATGGTTGCCGCCGTCTAGGGATCGATTTTGCTATAAGACAACGAAGGAAATGTGTGACTGGTTTGCGACCCCAAAGCGACCGTCATTCACAAATTAAAAACGTTGACGTCATAGCAAGACGATGGAAGCTAACAAAAAGCACAACTATTAGCAACGGTGTTTGGGGAACACTGACTGTAAATAAGTGTCTGTGGAGGGATTGTGATGTAATGCGCTTTACTTCATGAGTTCATTAATATTTTTAGTCACTGTTTACGTCCGTTTTTACCGCTTCTGACTTCTTCAGGTGCAGAATTATGATGCATAATTATGACGTCAGTTACATAAAAGTAGGAATGCCATGACCATTCATGGCATGATCATGGCATTTATTTGCTTTATTTTTATTAGCTTCACCTTGTTATGATTTTATGATGACACTGTTGGCACCCATTGCTCAACAACTTTGAAATCGATCCATAGACTGCGGCCCTTACTTCCGTAAACAATGCGCTACTTTGTGACGTCAACATTCTTCTGCGCATGCGGCTCACTTTGGGGACGTAAACGGTTCACACAGAAGTTTTATTGCGGTCGCATTTAATTAGCATAATTGCTTGAACTTTATCAACATGTTTCGTGTTTTGGAATTAATCAAAACACGATGCTATAATGTGACTTAAGCATTTCTATTGCAAATTCACAGCTCTGCATCAGTCCAAACGTTCGGTGTTACTCCCAGTTAGCACTGATTAATTGGGAACAGCTGTATACTTTGACTAAACGGGTTTGTAGGACATTTTGACTGAAAAAAATTACCTTCAGCTACTCACAGCGCCGAGAAAGGACTAAAACGACATTTTTTAAGAAATAAAATACGAGATGTTTCACTTTTAAGCGGACGTGGCAGGAAGTCAGAAGTCCCATCTGGTCTGGCAATGCAAATGGCGTGAAAGTGTGGAAAAATTCAAGAATTTAGAAGACTGGTGCTGGAACCATCAAGGAAGACGCTGCTAACCTTCGAGACCTACTGCCAAGAAAAAAAATGAAGGTAAAATTTTAACTGATGTTCAAAACTTACACAATTGAAGTATGAAAATGTTAGGTTCAACACGAATTCATCCAGGTTTTTTTTACTTTATTTGTAAAAGGAACAACAAAAAATCCAAAGCCTTTTACTAAAATTAAAGGTTGGCCACGGCTATTATGTTGTTCAAAAAGACAAAGATTGAAATAAAAAATTCAGGAAAAGATGAAAAATTTAGGATATGGTTTGCCTTTATTAAAAAACAATCTGGCAAACCAGACCTTTTCTCTGGTTTTTAATCTTAAATTATTTAAATATGACCGCTTTGCTTATTTCATAAGAATTCATGTTTATTTAGTAGGTAAAAATAAAGAATTTCTACAATTATAATTTGAAAGAAAAATACAAAAATTTTGGACATTTTAATCCCCAAGCCAAAAAGTTGACACTGCTGGTTTAATTTGATTCAATTTATAGTTTTAACTTACTTCCATATGCAGTTATTTCTATTTTATTTTTGTCTATTTTACATTTGGTCATATTTAAATTGCTATATCCCCTTAAAAATCATGGTTCTGTGCGTTTAAAATACGTTCAGACTTAACTTATTTATTACCATTTTAAACGGACTTTTTTACGTACATAAATCGGTTTCGGAAAATGAACCATAATAACCTCGTAGAGGAGCCTGCGTTTGCTTTGAATGCACCGGATTATGTAATCTGCAGAGTGATATTAACCTGACAAACTCTGGGGGTCGCTGTAGTACAAGTTAAAATCTCTCTGCAGTCTTATTCTGCAACGCCAGAGCTATTACATAAGATTTGATTCATAAATTCAACATTTATGTTTGTGGGTCACGGCGGGAAGACATGTTTTTTTTTTTTTTTCCATTTCTCAAATTTGCAAAATAAGTTCACAATCTTATAGAAATTTGACATTTATGACAATTACTCTGATTTATAACGAGTGAAAATGTTTATACTCAACAACTAACGATAAAACCCGAAAATTTAAGTGTTATTAATAAGCTGTAATTAGCTTTAAAAATAAAGAATACGAGAACAATTAAGCTAAATCGTAAGAGAAAACAAACCAGTCAAATATATTGATTAGCCACGAGTTTGTTTACTTGCTCTGGTTCCACCACGTGCCTGCAATGCGGCCACGCATGCGCCATAAACAGCTATATTTACATTTGGCATGCGTCACAGGTGGCGGCGCGCACTGCCAAAAACAACAAGCGGACGCGCGCAAATTACAGCCTTCCCTCGCGCTGATTGGCTGTATTTAGCTTTCCTCGCCCCCTTTGGCAGCTGATTGGTCGAGCGGACGGTCTGCCTCGTTCTCATTGGACGCTATTTGTGGTTTCGGCTGTGTAACTAGGCTACTGTGCTGCTGCTGCCGCCTTCTCGGAACGCGCGCTGCGTCGGAACTAACAGTGTTTTTAAGCGAAAGACGTTGTTTTGGTTGGAAAAGAAGCAGCTAATCGCCGTCCCGGGGGTTGTTTGTAAACGTTTTGAATTTAACAAAGACTGATTGAATTATTAATACTTTATTCATGTATTTTTGCTGTGCTTATGTCTTTAAAAGACACCTAGTTTAGACAGAAGTATGGCACTTACTTAAATATTCAGTTATTTCAAAATACATGTTTAGATTTGGATATATGGAGCAAGGAATTAGCTTAATTAATCTTTATTTATCATCTTACAGTTTGAAATGTTGGCAGTTGTTTTGATTTTCCAACACTTATTAACCATTTTCTGTAGAAATACTTCATAGATGGTGAATTCCACATTAATTTTAGATCTAGTGTGATCTTTACCATTTCAAGAGGGTTTTAATGTGAGATATCTCAATTTACTTCTCACCACAAATTATTGACTGCATTTGCATGACTGTGTAAAACCAAATCATTACCAGAAGACCTTCTTAGTAAGGATGTCATTCTAATAATCACCATAAAAACTCCAACAAAACCCGTTTTCACCATATTGCTGGTGACAGATTAATCAGCTAACTTTATTTCTGTCTAACTGAAATCCCTCTTGATCTAATTAACCAACTGCTATAAAAAAGCAGCAAATGTGCTTCAATTTGTTTTCTTCTTTTAGCAATAATTACCTCCAGAGAAAAGCCATAAAAATGAAAGTTTTCCAGTATCTTTGAGAACTTAAAGGTGAGGTGTTTAATTTAATTCAATTAAAAAATATACTTTATTGATCCCAAAGGGAAACTAAATTTAGTTGCAGTGGCAAAGACTTCTGGACATGTCTACTAACCACCTGGACTAGTTTTGTCTAAGTGATTGGTAGACATGTTTGTACATATGCAAGAAAATAATTAGGTAAAAACAAAAAAGTCACTTGTCAAAAAATTACTCAGGCTATCACTTTAGTATGGCAATATTATAATTTTTTTGAATACGAATGTTTTAGTCTACAGTATGCCACTGAAACGTAAGACGCACAAAATCTGTTAGCACTTATGGGATTCCGTACAGGAGCACTAAACTGTCAGAACTTGGAGATACATTCAGGATCTTGTTGTAATGGGAAACTTTCTTGTTTTAAAAAGGAGATGCAAAACTTGCTACGGTGACTGAGTTTCTCATCTAAGAAGATGAGTTTTGTCAAGAAAACGAGATTTTTGTTATGAACATTGTTATAACAGTTTCTCATTTATAAAAAGATTTCTTGTTATAAGATGAAAATCTTGTTTCATTATGACAACAAAATTTCTTGTTTTAGCAAAATATAAAATGTGCTGCTCTGTCTGATTGTGACATATCATGTCATCTGTTTCTTCTAGACGACATCTAAACCTGCGGTTTTTGTTTTATTGCTACAATCTTTCTCATTTAAAAGAACATATTTCAGTTTTAATAAGATATAAATCTTGTTTTAACAAAGTTTTCTCTTTAGCTTTTTGTTTTCCAGTTCAGTGCTTCCGTAGTTCTGTACTTTTTTTGTTGTATTTTTAGCTTATTTGCGATTCTTGTCACCCACATCTCCCGCAGCTCTTGAACGCAGCATCAGTTGATGAAATAAAACGCAGCTTTTTCTGCACTTTTCAGACAAGTTTCACTCCGCAGTCCTCTCGCTCTCTGCCTCCCCACCCAGACCAGAGACTCTGACCGGATAGTTGGATTCATGGCTGCGCATCTGTTCACGTTTTGACCAAAACGCGCCGCTCTGCACAGATTATCGGGATTTTCGCTATAAATAAGGCCTCAGACGGAACCGCTCGGCCTGCCGTCATTTATTTCTGCAGCTGAAGTATCCAGAGGAGATTTTAAAAACAAAAACAACATGATCCCGCTCTGACGGATGGGTCTCCACTCTTCAGCCGGGACAGAAGATTCCCGCAGATTTCCACGGATCGCCCTTCAGGACGGGACGCGCGGATGTTTGAGGAGACTTTTATTTTTTGTTTTTGTTTTTGAACTGATCCGATCTGGATTTATGGAACCGTGAAGAGCCGAGAAACGCTCGTCCTCCGCCGGGTTGTTTTGGTCTGAGGAGAGGAGAGGGAGGAAAGGCGAAGCGGCTTTTGGGGTAAGTGCAAAACGCAGGGTGACCTACTGGAGGACGCGGCGTTATTTGCAACAAATTCGCTTTTAAATGTGACTTTTACAGCTTTAGCGTAGCATTAACGTAGGAATGCGCTGAAATATTCACAAGGTTGCTACATTTGTGCGCTACTTCCTGCATACGGCACGATTAAATGCGTGAAACTCCTCATATTTTTTTGCTAATTTACAACCAAAAAGTGTGAAAGAACAGTTTCAATCCTTTGTTGTATGTCGTTTTGAACCTTGACCAGCATGTATGATGATGTTACAGCATCGCTTTCTTTCCAAGAGCCACGTTTTGTAATTTGAGATTGGAGTTGCGTTCAAGTGCGCGGCTCATTTCAGGAGATTGCGTCCTGCAGACGCGGATCTCGGGTTTTTGGTGTGTGTTTTTTGTGTGTTTTCATGGGGGGTGGGGTACGTGGGGGGATTATAAAGTCACGTGCACACGGCGACAAAAACACAGATTTCATAACGCACGCGCGCACAGCGGCGTGCAGCTGCAGCAAATGTTGCGTTTACGTGCATCCATCCTCCGATAATACAACGTTTACCTATTGAGATACAAGATAGTACAAGTAAAAATAAAGAAATATGGGAATTAATCGATAAATAAATAAATGAATAGCAGCAGTTGAATTGTTGTTTTGGCTGACGCGCGTCCTCGACGTCATCCGCAGGACGAGGTAGGTCTGCTGTCACATTATGCTTCATTTAAGGATTTATCTATTTATGTTGATTTCTGAATATTTTACGTATTTTCAAACTGGCACGGCAGAATGACGCCGATCAGCTGTAAACAACCAAGAGGTTGCAATAAAAAAAACGATATGTTGCTTTTTGATAATTTTTCATTTTTGTTTTAATTTATTCTTGAATCTGTCTCCTGATTAACTCGTAACATCATCAGATTTAACAAGAATGAACAATATCTGATTTTTTAAAAAACAAAAAAAACAAAACAAATTAAGTAAAAATTAACCAGAGTAATTGTATTTCCAGATGTTTTTTAACCAAAAGAATCAGGAATCAAACCCATATTCATGTTTTCACCGTGCTGTAAAATGATGGGGAACTTCTTGTATTTATTTACACATCCTGGTATCTGCACGCTGCCGCCTACTGCTGGTGGCGCGTTCACGCCGCATGGGAAATAATTTCCACTGCAATAACGACACCATTTCAGTTATTTATATATTTATATTTTTCCCTTTGTGCTCAGAGTCAGTGGAAGGATGTGGAGATTTGCCAGTGAGGTTTTTAAAATCTGTTTTTGTGGATGTGTTAGATATGTCTGTTTATATTTACTGCGTCTGCCAAAAGTTAAACTGTTTCACATTTTGTCCTCCTACATCATAATCTAATGTAATTAATTAAATTTTACTTCAACTTGTTGGTATATTGCCATTTTTAAAAGGTTTTGTATTCCTGTACTCTTGAAGCAAAGTCCTGTCCTGTTAATTGTTTAATTAATTTGTAATTTAAGTCCAACATAAACGCAGCTGTTCTGCAAAGACCATATTTTACAGATTTGAGGATGTGAGGAAAGATGGTAGTGGCAGCATCATGCTACAGGATGATTTTTAACTAACATTGTCTCTTTAACTCATAATTAGGACTAAAACTCAAATTTTGACTAAACTCACAAGTGACTTTTATTGTTGCTATAATGAGTGACATTAGTAATAATAACTCACAATTATTACTTTTATTCTCATTTATGACAAAAACTCACAATTAGGACTTTTATTCTTGAAATTTTGTCTTTTGATCTCAATTACTTTAAAACTTATCATTATGACTTCCTGTTTGGCTTTTATTTTTTCTTTAATAGCAGAAATGGGCTTCCATAGAATACAAAGGTCATACTTTTCAGGTTTTTATCTCTTTAAAAATAGTGAAAACCATTTATAGATGTCATTCCACTGCACAATTATTCAGTACTGTTTTATCTTTCTAAAAAAAACTCATTGAGGTTTGTTGTTTAAGTTAAAAAAAAAGTTTAAGTTTTAAAGTTCACTTTGTTGCAACCTTAAGCAACTTTGAAGAAGAAAAAAAATTGGCATTGGCCAAAATTAAAATTGGTTGGTCAAGCTGTTTAAACATCAGTGATCGGCCAGAAATCTGCAATCAGTGCACCCTTATTTTAATAATTGGTTTTGCATAGCACTTCCTTTTATTTTGCTTCTGATCGCAGTTGGAGCCTGTCAGTCTGATAAATTGACAAATTTTCACCCCAAGACAATTCAAGCCGGTCTCACAAAGCAAGAACAAGCAGCCATCTAAAACTTTTCTTACAGAAGAGCTTGAGTACATCATTGGCCATCAGAGGAAGCACAAAACTTCAGGAATGAACCGAATTGTGATCAGCACTAAATGTCCCAGAGCAAATGGTTCCACTTCACAACTCAAAAAATAAGTTTTAAAGTTATTAAAACTAGAATTGAAGAGCTAATATACATGGAATTTTGGAGAAATTTGATAATTCAAGTCACAAACTGCTGAATTTGAGCACAAACAAAACAATGTTAATTACTGAATTTTTATTATTATTTATTTTAAAAAAAATTACTAAAAAGACCATTTCCTACAACTTTCCAGCTAGTTAGCTTACTAGCCAGCTAAGTTAGCTAGTTCGCTAAGAGTGGAAAAAAACATTACATTATTCTATAGATCGGGTTATTTTTGTTGCTCAACTGTTGAGATGTTAACACACTAATTACAGTTATACTGTTATATTAGATACTGCTTTAGGTTAAACGATATTTATTTAGTTGTTGAACCAAACTTCCCTACCTTGAGGACTCTAGCTAGCTATTTTTTAAATTTATTTTATACATTCATTAAATCAGCTAGACTAGACTGCTTTTAGGTTAAATAGTTATTTTGTTAAGCAGCTCCCTGAAGGAAAATTGTGTTGTTTTCTGTTCATTCTAGTTTGCTGTGTATAACTCTCCGTGTTTCCATAACCTAGCTTAGTTCTATCTAGTTTACTGTTGTTTATACTGTAAATACTGGCGGTTTATTAACAAATAATTTTGGTCGAAAATATTTTTACAATACATTTGATCATCACAGTTGCATCAAACCTCCGCGCTTATCAAGAAATCAGTATTGATTCTTTAAAAACTAACTTTAAGAACCGTTTTTTTTTGTTTTGTTTTTTTAAGTTTCAAATCGGTTATCTTCTATCCTACGGGTCCGTGAAGGCAACGCGGCCGCCCATTGGTCGATTCGGCCGTCAATTCGAACGCGCTTCTCCTCCCACGTGGTGACGTCCCCCTCTCCAAAGTAACCAGGCCAGTCCATTACGCACACAAAAGGCACAACAAAAGCCCGTGTTGGGAAAATGAGATCCGTCAGCACCTTGTGGACGCAACAATAAGTTCCCACCTGGCAGCAGCACACGTGGACCGGAATCTGGGACGGAGACAATCACCGGTTTACCCCCAAAAAGAAAAAAGAAAAAACATCAACATTAGCATAAAATAACAACAACAACATCCATCTGGCTGCAGTTTCCCCCACCGAGATCTTGACTCAGGTGGTGAGTAGATCCAACAATGTTTTCATTATGAATCTGTGAGGAAAGGTTCGGTTCTGGTGCCGCGTTGGGTTCACTGTCAGAACAAAAAAAAAAAAGAAGAAGAAGAAGAGGCAAAACAACGAAAGCAGCTGAGCCACACTGTTGCGCTTCGTCGAGCTCTTTTGTGGTGATAAACACGTTTGGAGGCGGAAAAAACAGGGAATTAAGCAGATTGGAAACGACCGGAATGTTGAGATTAAACCACGTAGATGTGGTGGAAAGGCGCATGCTGTGTTTTTATTTATTTTTCATGTTTAACAGAAGAGGACAGCGAGTCTTTTGTCTGGACACCTCTTCCTGTTCGCGGAGACGCACAGTGCGCCGCTTCTTTGTTTTCATTTAGAATAATCAGCTGATCCTGCTGGGATCCCTCAGTCCTCTCAGCGCTTATCTGTTGGTAAGCTTTAGTTTTTAGTCATTCTGCAAAAGAAAACGCCATATAAAGACAAAACGGACCTGATAAGACGGTGAGGAAGTGGAATCAAACAAAAGATGAGCAGCAAATGACTAGTTTATCACCTTTCAGAAAGCTTATTCGGTCTTTTATTTAATCTGTTTGTTGTAGGAAAACATAGGTTATAATTAAAATAAGCTAAAAATAAAAAGGAGATACTCATTTCATGCGCAAAACCCTGTTGACTTGTCCATATTGGGTATTATTGAATAAAGTGTGCGTCATATCAAGCTGTCATCGGGAAAACAAACGACCTGTTGTTTGCACTGATCGATCATCCAGACACTGGAATTGGCTGATATTTGTTCCGTCTTTCTGATTGGCTAAGAAGTCATATAACGTTTGGCCTGTAAATGCATCAGAAAGTAGGATGATGAACTGATTTTATGAGCTTTTTTTTCTAGATAAAAATGAATTAAATGCTTGTGATGCAACGTTGTGTGAAAACAGAAATGTTCTAATTTTTTTAATGTTCTATGAACTCCTGTTAAAGATATTTAAATTATTTATTGTCATTAGGACAAAAGAAATCTGTGAAAAACTGAATCCATGTTGGCGAAAGTCGGGAAAAGGCCAGAAAACGTCTGATCGGTGCATCTCTGCTCAAGACGTTTGTGGTTTGCTTTGATCAGACGGTAAACTTTTCAAAACCTTGAAACTGAAAACGGACCCGAGTCCAGTTAGAAACTAAAGTAACCCAATAGGAGAGAGAACAAAGATCAGCCAGTCAGGCTGCGGTGAAGTCAGGGAGGAAATTAAAACAGGCTGCCGTTGTTTGTGTTTGGCGACGCACCGATCAATCAGCCACACATTGGAATCGGACGAGTTTTTTTTTCACCAGCAATCAAATGAATAAAAATCAGATTTTTTTCCCCTCTTGTTCGTTAAATGCATCAAAACAAAGAACTTTCATAAGTTTTAGTCTATAAGTGCATAAACCATTTTTTTTATTGCAGCTAAAACAAATCCAAACAAAAACAAGTTTGCATTCACTTTGATGCACAAAGAGGGACAGAGCTATTTGTTTATTTCTGTTGGATTGAAAATTATTCCCTATATGGAAGAGTCCTTAAAAACCTGTTTTATCATCTAAATCCTGAAATCTGTGTCAGATCAGAGCATCATTAGCGTGTCGTGAATGCTAAGGGTAGTTAGCATAGCAACCGATGACGACAAATGGTTCTCCTGTAACTGTAAGTTGTTTCTTCAACTTTTGCACATTTAGCAGCAAATACATCAGGTTGATTGACAGCGCTAAGACCCGCCTCCTGGCTCTGATTGGTTGGTTTTGGTCAGGATGCATTTCTTCAGCTCAGGGAGGAAATCGATCTTTTCACAGGTTATTTGTCTCATTAAACTGTCGTTACATGGTGACAGTTAAACAAATATATGAAATGTTTTTATAAAAGTTAAATGCTGCAGCTTTAAGGAGGAAACTCTAACTTGGAATCAAAACCATGAAATCGGCAAATGGCAGTCGGTTCATTATTATTATTTAGATTTTGATACAACACAGACCTGGGGTGCATCAACAATCGGACCGACGTCCTTCATTTTGGAGATCGATCTTTCCTTTCTACGCAAAGGTCTGAAAATCTTCCATTTTACTCCCCACCAGGTCACATCTGCATTTCGTAATACTCACCAGGCATAGACTTTTCAGACATAGAAATCACAATCGGCACTCGGGCTTTTTAAAGATCGCTCAGAAAAGTGCAATCGGTTCACCCTTATATGTGACCTTTGATGTTTTTGTTGTAAACGAGGGAAAAGTCTCCGAGTTCTCCAACCTGTAAACGCAGCAACAGGTGGGGGAGGGGCAGAACTGGAGAAAATATTCTTGTACTTTCTCTAGTGCCTCATTAAAAGGACTTTTAACAGCATGAAGTAATTAAAAGCACAACTTTTTAAAAGCGTGGCCTGTTGTCTTCAGTTTGGTGTCTTGGTCTCACTTTTATTCAGGGATCATTTTATTTATAGAAATTTCATGATTCACTTTATTTGTTGTTTCTGTTGTTTGTTTACTTAGTTTGGATATTTAAAATGGCTTCCAGTTCCAGCATTAAATGTCCATTAAACCTTAAAGTTTATCCACCTTTGGTTATGTGTTACTATGCTGTAATTACTGTTCTATTACTTCAAAACAACAATATTAAAGTTTATCGTAATAACTTCTGGGACAATTTATTGTCCAGTAAAATGCATCGTGCCAGGCCTGTGGACGCCTCGTTGGATGTTGGAAGTGTTTGTTGGGGAAGAAGCCAAAACAAAGGCAGGAACACGCTCTGCGGCTGGTATTTAACTGTCTCTGCTGGTATAATTGAATAAATATTTGCGAGTTTGCGTCATGTTGAGGGGAAAACAACCTGCTATTGTTCGCGTGTGCGGTGGACAACCCTTCCTTTCTGCACAAAGCTCCTTTAGTGATGTTGATGATGCTGAGGTGTGACATTTATAAAGCTCTCTGTGAGTGTGTGTGTGTGGCTGCCTCTCGCCGTGCACACGTGCACGTGGCAGTGGGTTTAAACTGGGCTAATTCACAGAGGGGATTTGGCCCTTTTCATGCAGGGATTATGCCTTCAGCACCTGTGCAGATTATGCACGGTGTATGTAAATACGGCTCGTCTGGGAGGCCTGCGCTGTGTTTATGTTGTCATCTAAACGCGTGTTTGCAGAGCCGCCATGCTTCACGTCACAACCTGCTTCCTGTTGAGCTGCGGAAGAGACCTTCTTCTTGTTTTTTTTTGTTTTTGTCGTCTGGCTGCTGGTTTCTGTCTCGACGCTGCTCTTCCTGTCGCAGCTCATTTAGAAACTTCCAGAGTCACTGAAGTGCCTTTTAAATGCATCGCTATTTACATTTACACACAATATGTGTGAAAGTGAACTCTTAACAACCTTTTACTTTGCAAAAGAGGAACTGGAGATATGTATGTTTAAAAGTGCAGTATGTAACTTTTATAAAAGATAATTTTTACTAATTTTTCTTAAAACTGTCGCCATGTCATGACAGTTTGTAACGAGACAGATAATCTGTGAAAAGATCCATCTCCTCCAGAAAATATTTGAGTTTCAATCGTCAATTTTTTCACATTTGAAACTCAGAAATTTCTCTTTTTTTTTTTCCTTTCTAGAAAATTTCTGAGATCTCAAAAGCTACTATTGGCTCCTGAATAAATGCACAAAAACAACCAATAGACAGGAGGCGGGTCTTACTGCTGTCAATCAACCTCTTGTACTTGCTGCTAAATGTGCTAATGGTGAAAAAACAACTTCCCGGTTGCACAGAATTCATTGTTTTCATATTTCGCTAAAGTGGCAATGAAAGTATCGCATTGCAGCTGGAGTGCAACAAGATCTCATCATACAAGAAATGTCGTGATTTTAAAACATTTTTAAAATTTCCGAGTTTCAAACATTGAGAATTTTTGTCATTTGATATTCAGAATTTTTTTCCTTAGTAATTTTTAAAAAACTTTTCAAACTGAACAATTTCTATTTTTTTTCTCCTAGAAAATTTCTAAGATCTCAAAGTTTATTTTTGGCTGAAAAGTTCTCTCTGTTTATCCAGTGGCCGTAATAAACCATTGGATGATTGAACTTCCTGCTCTGTTTGCGATGCAAATTATTTAACGTTGAAAAAATATTTTCAAATGTCTTTTCTTTGGAAGCTCAGCTCCTGTAACAGATCCGGACCAGCTGCGGTTTCCCTCCACACAGACGGCAATGCTCACAGAAAAGTATTTTCTTTGACAGATGAGCCTTTTAGCAGATGCTGGCTGTAAACCACTGACACATTCAGAGCGATTAATAAAGAGAATTGCATTGACAAGACGAATGAGAGGCTCATAAAAGGCAGCAGGCCAGAGTGTAAAAAGGAACAAACCTTTTCGGTATCAGTTAGTGAGGACTGATGCTTTTCTTTACAAGGCATTAATGTCATCTGTGATTTGTGCCGCAGCACAGTAGCAGCAGATTTTCATTTTGTGTGAATATTTGCTGCAGAGACTTTTCTGTCAACAACTGCATGCGTCGACTATTCTGGTCTGTCCTGTTTAAAGCATCATCTGCTGTGCAATTGTTTCTGCAGATCTAAAAATAGAACAAAAGTTCCTTGTTAAAGAAGTTTTTTTATATGTTCCTTTTAAAGTAGAGCTGCACATGTGTGCAATTTTGCAGTATTAAAAGACTTTAGTTCAAAAAGTAAAACTCATTTATAGCCATCATATATTTGAGTCTGCCACAGTGATTTTTATGGTCATTAAAGCAGCTGTTTGTACTTTTTAGTCAACAGTTGCCAAGTTCTGCTGGAAAATGAAATCAGCATCTCCGTACATCTTGTCATCATAGAGAAGCGGGAAGCTAACACCAGCAGATGGCATGACTCAGCAAATCAACGGCGCATTTCTCCTAAATTCCTCCAAAAGTATTCTGTCAGCCGGAACCTTTTGTATTCACACGTTTCTGGTACCTCAGTAAATCTGACGCACAAGCTACATGCCCAAAACAACAAAACTGCTTCTTTTCACCCATTTGAGGTTAATTTCTGCTTCTAAAACGATCTGATGGACGCTGGAAAAGACTATTGTTGTGTTCAAGTTGTGCTGAAAGAAGTTGGCTTATCAGCGAAGCTATTCAAGCCTAAATTAGCATCTCAACGCGAAACATGTAGCAGCAGCACAGGCGCTAATGCTACTGTTAGCATCCACTTTTCTAAAGAACCTCCATGACTGATCAGAAGTTCCTGAAACACTGGAAAACTGAACTGTGCACCAATTAGATAATCTAAATAACAGATTTAAAACAACCTCATGTGTTTGTTTATTTAATAATTTAGCAACAAAAACAGTTTTTGAATTGAAAATGTTGCGTGTTTTATCCATATACATTTTTCGGTTAAATTGTGATTGACTAATTAAATGCAGATCCTAAAATTTAAAAAAATTATTGACCCCACCACAAATTCATACACTTTGACTCAACTACCTCCTTTTTTTGAAGGACAATTTTGTTTACAGAGATTTCATAATTCATTTTATTTGTTGTTTCTATTGTTTTGTTTATTTTGGATATTTAAAATGTCTTCCAGCTCCAGTGTTAAATATTCATTAGTATTTAAAGTTTATTGATCTTTAAGAATGTCTTCTCGTATTATTGCCATTGTATTACTAGAAAATTGTCTCAAAATAACAATATTATCGTTTATCGCAATAACCTCTGCGACAGTTTATCCTCCAGTAACATTTGTTGTTGTTAAAGTCTATTACTGTTACATTTCAAATGATTCCCAGTCGACTGTTTAACCTCTGATGGATTAATGTCAACATTTGATGCATCATCACTTTTATTCTTATCCTCTGAAGCAACCATCTCAAAACTTTTGTCCTGCAGCTATTCATCCGTCCATTGGGACAAAACACTCACAAATTGCAAATAAGTGAGTTTGCAACCAAGTGAATCACATTACGAGACGTTCTGATTGTTGGAATATTTCGTTACTTCGCCACACATTCGTTGTGCACAACCCACGATTGTAATCATGTAATAGACGATTGTAATCAAATGATTGCTCCAGCTAATGAGCCGAGTTCGTACTGGAAATATAATCAGGATCATGTTTGCTAAAAATAGCCGATGCAGACCGTGCCGCTAACCGCTTCACCTCTGTGGTTTCTCCTCCGCAGGCTCGATTTTCTCCTGTGGTGTCTGTGTGGAGCGTCCCACACACCCACTCCACAACAACGACGGCTTTTGCTTGCATCTTCCAGTGTTTCTTCTGTCAGCAAGTCCAGCAGAGCTGCAACTCTTCCAGTGCCAGCCCTGACACCAGCGAGGAGCCCTGCCCCACTGACATGGTGAAGATGACCAAGTCGAAGACCTTCCAGGCCTACCTGCCATCCTGCCACCGCACATACAGCTGCATCCACTGCCGAGCGCACCTGGCCAACCACGACGAGCTCATCTCAAAGGTAACCCTGCTCTCTTCATTTGCAGCCCACTTAGAGGTGACCTGCTGCGCGATCTGATCTCTCCCTGATTTAAAACGACCTCAGAACTACAATGTTGTGGGATAGTTTGCGTAAAAGAGCTGTCCCACTAGTGAATTAATTTTACAGATACGAAGCACCCAAATGCAGTCTATGAAACCATCTTTGAGGTTTGACTACTAACAGGGAGAGATCAGATCAGATACAACGTTTATCATTTTGTTGCATAAAATCATTCCTACATAGTGAGATCTGCCTGTTCTGAGCTGCTTTAGGGCCTCCTGTCACTTAACGGTTCAATTTACAGACAACAAAAAACAACAACCTTTTGCCCAAAAATGACTGGGTGGGTTTTTTAAGTGCTTTTGTTATTTTTAGAGGTAAAACATGTGCAAAAAGGTAAATTTTTCACATCTGACACTCTGTTTGATTGGAGATCAAAGTTGCAACATTTGTTACATTTTCAGCTGATTAAGGAACTGAGCCCAACTTCCTTCTTCATGAAATGTAAACAAAAATTGATTAAGCTGTTGTAGGATTTCTCTTTTTTCTTTGATAAAATTTCAATTTCCCCCCCCTAGAATTAGACTAGGGGGGAAATGTGGTAAATGCAACCACATTTGTTTGGTTGCATTTACCCAGAATGCATTGCGCTGCAGTGCGTCTCCTGCTTTTGGAGCGGTCTCTGGTCCGCCTGGCGTTCACATATGGATTCAAATCGCACCAGTGTTCACTAAGTTTGTAGGTGATTGTGAATCCAAACCTCTCCGAATGAATTCTAGACAACAAACCAGTTTGACTAAAGTGGACTAAACAGAGCTGGTGTGAATGCATCCTGAAACAGCAGGTCTTCCACTGCTCTGTCAACGTTTACACTGACGGAAAATAGCTTGAGGGGATTTGCAGCTGTCTGCCGCTTCTCACCACAGACGCATTTGGTGCCACCGGGTCGCTCAGCTGGAGAATAACAACAATACATCCATGTGACACTCTTCAAATACTCGTCAACTGTTTGTGGTGGCACTTCACTTCGGGCTAAAAATAACAGCAGAAAGTGTGATGTAGCAGATTTAGGAGATGTAGGTTACTGTGACACAACTAAGCTGTTTTTATCTGCGCTGAAATTTAAAGCGTGGTGATGTGAGGAGCGATGAATGAACCTGAGCGAGTCGAGTCCAGCTGGGAGTCGACAAACTGCTGAGGGCCGTAGCTTCACAGCGCCTCAGGCTCCGTCACTGTCTTCATACTGAAGCTCTGATTTATTCTCTGTTTTGCCTAAATACGAACCATATTCAACTTTTTCCTTCTGAGTTTGTTCCCCACAATAATCCAGTTTTAGTCACTTATGTATATGGAAGTGATTTGGATATGTATCAGACTGTTTTCAGAGCGTCTGCTGTCTGAACAATCATGTGAAATTTTATCCGACTTTTAGCTGAGACAATTCTGCACCACACTGCAAAAACACAAAATATCCTCGTGCACTTGAAATAAGACCAAACTAACTTACAAGTAACTTTTCAGCAGGTATATAAGTTTCAATAATTTATTGATATTGACTTAGAAAGTATTTATTCCATTGCCAGATTATTTCACTTCAGGGAAAAATGTCTTGTTTTAAATGAAACCATCTGCAAGTGGAATAAATACTTTTCTCTTTATCAATATCAAGGAATTATTGACTTAAATCAAGCTCCTGTATCTTGTTGAAAAGTTACTCTACATTAGTTTGGTCTTATTTCAAGTATATTAAGATATTTGCACTAGAAACTAGACTAAAAATACTTGGTAAGATTTTGTTTTTTGCAGTGCAGAAGAAGCCAGACTGACGATATTTCCAAGAATTGGTGTCCACAACTAAAATAGCTAAAATCCACAAATATCTGATACCCCACTAAACACACACATAACTTCCTATTCTGCTAGTTTGAACATCAAGTTTGTGTTAATATGCTCCAAATCCGCACAGCCAGAACCATCAGCAGAAGCCAACATGTACAGTCTTTAGACTAACCGATTGTTTGGGTACCAAAAAGCTTTATTTACAGAATTAGAGCCACCTGGAGCTAAACCTGCCACTACAGCAGGTTTGGGTTTAACATACTGATAAACAAAAGTATATATTTTTTATGTTGAGTGAAAAAAATATTTTTTTTGTACAGTTTTGGCTTAATTACTGCTTGTTCTTTCAGTAAATTCCAGTAAACAATTAATAGATCACTAAATTGGTTGATTATTTAAATAACCGATTAATCGTCATTAATTGAATTAATTGTGAATAATTCAATTAATCGTTTCAGCCCTTCCCTAGTTAGACCCGTACAAGTCCTGGATGCGGGGAATTTCAGCCCGGATGTTTCTCTCTGGCTTTAGTGATTAATCAATTACTAAATTAGTTGCCAATTGATTCAATTAATCACGAATTGTTTCAGTCCTAATTGTCACCATTTAAAGGTTTCTGCAGGCCTTTTATGAAACATTACTCCTGATTAGAAAATAAACCCCCAAATAGCCAATTAATTTCCAATCCCAATCGTTAATGGCTCCCTCTGTATTGGTGATCAGTTCTCGCTAAGAGGAAAAACAAATTGGACATTCAGGTCACAAACGGCAGCAGGATGCTGAAGATTCAGAGCGTTGGCCCGTCAGGCCCAGTCATCAATCAGCCTGCGGAGAACCACAAATGTTGTTGCGTCTTTGAATTTCCTTTGCTGTGTCCCGGTTTATTAAAGACGTTTGACTTATTGAATTTCCCACTGGCCAAACAATGATGGTCTCTCACTGACGTTTGGAGCCACAAACCCAAAAAGGCTTTAGTCAATGTTGATGGTAGAATCGGCAGCTGGGGAGAGAAAGTGAGTAAAGTTTCTAGGTGATCAGATTAAAGCGGAGCTGCAGCACTGACCTTTGTGTTATTATAGGAACCTGGCAGCATGCCACCCCCAGTGCTGCTCTCTCACCACGCTCTAAGCTGATTATTCAAATGACAATGATGATCAACCTGCGCGCTCGCCGTCTCCGTGTCAGAGTCCATTCCCCTGCTGTAACTCAGAGACGTTGTTGGTGCTGGCAGGTAAATGGATCCAAAACCCAACAGTGTCTCTCCTTTCAGCAGGATCAGAGGTCTAATCTCTCCAAGTTTAGAACCCATTGATGTTGTTTTAGGGCATTTTTACACCTGATGGTCCGGTCGACTCGAAACGGCTCATTTTCCAGAAAAATTAGCCGTTTGCGGATCTGCAAACGGCTCATTTGGAGATCCTGCTGCTAGAAAAGACAAGGTTGTATAATCCAACAGATATACAACCTTGTCTTTTCTAGCAGCCATTGTACAGCAGTAAAACCAGCTGATGTGCTGGAGCTCCTTTGGGGATTCTAGGTAACAAGCGGAAATATTGTGGGTTGCTAGGTAACAAGCAGACCTCTGGTGGATTGCTAGGTAACGAGCAGAGCTCTGGTGGGTTGCTAGGTAACAAGCAGAACTCTGGTGGGTTGCTAGGTAACGAGCCGAACTCTGGTGGGTTGCTAGGTAACGAGCAGAACTCTGGTGGGTTGCTAGGTAACGAGCAGAACTCTGGTGGGGTTGCTAAGTACCTGCTGATTTGCACGTTACATTCCTGAGGTTTTTGAAACGGCTCATTTTCTAGACGCCACAAAAACCTCTGTGTTTTTTAAGCATTGGGCTGTTTTTAAGAGAACAAGAGACCCAAATGGCAGTATGGAAAAAAATGTTCATAACATTTCCCCGTTATGGGTGTTTTCACAGCTGATATTCTGGCAGACTCACTAAATAGCTATATTTATTGCATTTTCAGCTGGTGCAGTTCGCTTTCTTAGTGCTGTTTAAAGGGCGCTTTGGCCGTTTTGTTTATTGCTGCCATAGTTACGCATTCATAAGTCTGTATCTGCGGTCAAACATGGTTACTTCTATAAGGTTCGTTTGTTGTCTATAAGATGTTTGGTATGATTTATGCGAGTTGAGCTAAAATACAGTCTGTAATAACAGTAAACCTGAAGCAGACTGAAAGCATAATAACACAGAGAGCAGCTCAGAGACACCCTGTAACACCTGCCACTGCTTTACCTGGCGAAAACAGTAACGTCTAAGTAACTGTTACACTTTGAATGAAGCTGAATAATAATTGTGTAAATTGGAATTCCGAAAATAAATTAGCTTAAGGAAACATGGCAATTTTGAAAAAAATTTGGCATGTTTTGAACTAGAAATGATGGTTTTTCAGCTGTATCGAAATGTGATCAACAGCCAGATGTTACTACTGGCGGAAAAGACGAAGAAGACAAACAGGAAGTGGTTGTAGGATGATGGCGCTGCATGTTTTTTTTTTGTTTTTTTTTTTAATGACTTGGCGTATGAACAAACTTATTATCTCGTGACTTTAATTGTTTTTCTTATTTAATGGAAATTCCACAATTGCGAAATTGCGGGGAGGTTTCGAAATTAGCAGAATATTAACAAAGTTCTGCATACATTTGTAATGGAAATGCAACTACTGTTCACTTTTTGCTCTATGTTCAATTATTGCATGTTCACACATTCACTCCTCAAACAAACCGGATTTTCTACACAAACTAGAGTTTGATTGTTTGTAACCTTTACTGAACCAGAAAATAATCTGAGTTAAAAAATCTAATTTTAAAGGGACTAAACAAGGCTGGTGTGAATGCACCAGCCTTGTTTGCACCCTTAATCTCTAAAGTCTGTTGTTTATCATAAATGTGATGTGTGTTTGGCCCAAAGCAAGAGACCGTCCGTGTTTATCAACACCTCAATTAACCTGTCCAGGTCGGATGTACGCGGATTTATCGTTGCTCTAAAAGCCGAGGCAGGGCTGCAGCAGCATGTTTTATGCAGGGACAGTTTTATAGGATCCCCTGAGGGTAAATTAAATTGTTGCTGCAGCAAATCTCAGCTAAATTATGTAGCTGGACTTAGCAGTTAAAGTCTGGGCTTCAAAATGGAA